TCTTTTGGAATAGCAATTTCCTTCGGGGGCATGACATTGATCTCTTCTGCCAATTCACCATGGAGATAGGCCGTTTTTACGTCCATGTGATCAATATCCATGTCTTCCCTTGTTGCTAATGCTAATAGCGTTCGTAGGGATGTATACTTTACCACGGGGGAATATGTTTCTTCATAATCTATCCCAGCTGTTTGGGCGCAACCTTATACGACGAGCCTGGCTTTATATCTGATGGATTTTTCTACTTCATTTATCTTTTTCTTAAAAATCTATTCAGTCGTCAATATCTTCTTGTCCTTCGGAGCGTCTACAAGAGTCCACGTGTCGTTTCTTGTAAGAGAATCTTGTTCTTCCTTCATAGCCTTCATCCATTCATCCTTGTGCGCTGACTGTATGGCTTCTTCAAAAGTTTGTGGATCATCTGGATCATTTTCTGACGCTAAATATGATACAAAATCTTCGAACTGTTTTGGTTTGGGTACCCTTTGTGAACGCCTAGGTTGTCCACTATTTGTAGCTGCGTATTCAATCGTTTTGATAGGTTGTACCTCTTCGTCACTTTCTTCATGTGATGAAGCATCTTCATATGTTGAATCTTCGGTTGATGTCATGTTGTCCGATTCTTCTTCCTGTGTATTTTCATTCTCTTCATCTTCAGTGTAGCCTAGAGCGAGGACATTAACCGTCTGCTTATTCTGTTTACTTTCCTTTTTATTTGGCTTTTTAACTTCTTCGGTGCACTGCTTAGGATCGCTATTCTTATCTAAAAATATTACATCTCGAGCAATAGTAAATTTTCCGTTTTTCGAGTTTATAAACCGATATCCTTTAGTATCTTCGCAATATCCTACGAAAATGTGTTCTTCGGACTTCGAGTCCCATTTTTGCCTTTTTTGCTTGGGGACATGTACCATTGCTTTGCATCCAAAAGTACATAGGTGCCTTAAATTGAGCGTGTTACCTGTCCATACTTCCTCGGGAGTTTTTTCTTCATTTGATTTCGTTGGGGTCCTGTTGATGAGGTACGCCGCTGTGGAGACCGCTTCTGCCCAATATCTTTTCGATAGTTTTGCATCAAACAACATCGATTTTGCCCTTTCTACGAGAGTGCGGTTCATCCTTTCGGCAGTCCCATTTTGTTCCGGTGCGTAGCCAACTGTTAGTTGATGACGGATGCCTGCTGTCTGTAGGATATTGTTGAATTCTTCGTTGACGTATTCCTTACCGCGATCACTACGTAGACATTTTACTGTCTTTCCTGTTTGCTTCTCTACAAAAGCTTTAAAGGTTTCAAAAGTTTTTGCAGCTTGATTTTTGTGCTGCAAAAAATAAACAAATACCTTCTTTGTATGATCATCCACGAATGTAAGGAAATACCTAGATCCACCGATTGACGTATTTTCCATAGGCCCACAAAGATCCGAATGTATAAGTTCAAGCTGATCTCTTGTTCTCGTCTTAGACACTTTAAACGATTGTCGATGCTGTTTCCCTCGAATGCATACTACGCATGGATTTTCATCAGTATTTGATAAGCTGATTCCTGTGTTCGGATTGCCTGCCAGTATTGCCATATTTTTCCTATTCATGTGGCCTAAACGTCTATGCCATAATTTGTGATCTTCGGAAGTACTGGCGACGCATGCCCATTCTCTTGCTTGATCTAACTTGTAAATACCTTCATTTTCAGTCGCAGTAGCCACAACGTTGCCGCGCGTATCTGTTATCTTACAACCATCTGCATTAAATGTTACCTTGTGTCCATTTTTTACTACAGTAAACCCTCGTTAACACGAACTCGAAGGGACCGCAATTTGAGTTCGTGTTAACCGAGTGTTCGTGTTAACGAGGAAATCTGGCCCCTCGTTAACACGAATTTGTTCGTGTTAACGAGGTCAACTAAATTTAGTGGATTGTGTTGCATATGATATATTCATTATTATTTATATAGTTATTTAAGAATAACATCTTTTACATTTAAAATTAAAAATAAATATAAAGAATTGAATTACATTATACTATTTACGCTGATCTGTCCATATATAAAAGACCGCTCTGCAGTTAAGTTTTACATTTAATTATTTCGATGAAAAATAATCTGTAATTGTTTTTTGTCGAGTTGTAACTGGATTATTTAGCGAATATTCAAAACTTACAATCTGTAAGTAATCAACAAACTGATTAAACACATTATTTGTAGCTACATAATCTCTTAATGTCTGAAATGCTGACATAACAGCAGAACGACTAGGTTTTTCTATCTCTTCTTCTTGTTTTTCTTGTTCATCAGTTAAGTCTGGAATGTTTTCTCCTTGTTCATTACATATGGCAATATCATCATCGATTTCAACAAATTCATTGAATGTACAGTAATCCTGAATAGATATAATATTTATACAATTTACATATCTGTGTGCTATGTATTAATTATTATTATAACTTATTCTTTTCTTACCTTCGCATTTATATCAATTGAATGCATAGATCGAGACTTTTACAGCATAAATTACTTACAGCATAAAAATATAATAAATGGTAAAGGAAATTACCTACGTTAAAATTAGGCACGTCAAACTGTTATGGAAGCAGAAACACAACTAATCACTCTGTGTCTAGCGAATAAATAACTAGTTAGATAAAGGATAAGTAAGAAAAAATAATAGAGACAAAGGAGTTCATAATATACATGTAGATCTCAATATAACATTGTTTACGTACAACTCGATACTCATACGCGATTCGCGTTAACCGAGGAATTTCTTCTGGAGGGACCAAAAGGTAGTTCGAAGTTCGTGTTAACCGAATTTCGCGTTAACCGGGGGAAAGGTCCATAAGAACCTGTACAACTCTGCCGGGACCCAAATTTCAGTTCGTGTTAACCGAGTTCGTGTTAACGAGGGTTTACTGTATTCTACTAACCGATAATAAGTTTGCGGTTAATCCTGACACATATAGAACATCTTTAGCTTCAATACTGTCTGACTTATTGTTCGTTATCACGTTAAGATTTACTTTACCGACCGCGCCGCTTACTAGTTCGGTATTATTTGCGATGGTTATCGTTGAACATTGTTTCTCTTGAACATTTTGCAATATTTTAATATTGTTCGTCATGTAAGATGATGCGCCTGAATCTATAAACCATTCCGCGTTGCCTTTAATTGCTGACGAATGGAGAGCCGCGAATGCCTTTTTTGACGAATCCTTATTTGTTGAATCCTTATTTGTTGACGTATTGGGCGCGTTCTTCTTATTTCTGCAATATTTAGATATATGACCGTAACGGTTGCACGAATAACACTTCGTTCTCTGCGTATTTCTAGACGATTTGTCGCCGGATTTTGAATATAAAGCCGAATCGCTTTCTGAGTTTTTTGTACTTACTTGCGTCTTTATTTCTTGCAGTAATTTTACTTTAGCGAAGTCACCTGTTATCGATGCGCCGGAATTTTCCAATGCCATAATCATCGGGCGATAATCTTCTGGTAAGCCCGCAAGGAGAAGTGTGCCTACCCACTCGTCCTCTACCTGGAATCCTAGTTGGTTGAGACTTTGTGCAGTCGTCATGATGGTGTTCACGTATTCTTCGACGGAGTTACTCTTGTTCAGCTGCGTGGTCACTAGCTTTCGTAGAAGACCTACTTTTCGCGTGAGTCCCGTATCTTCGAATGTTTGTTCGAGCTTCTTCCACGCTTCCTTCGCAGTTTTCGTGTCCCTGATGTAGGCAAAATTTGCAGTGTCTACGGATAGAATTATTTTTGCACGTGCACGGGTTACTTTTTTTATGTCTGTAGTATATGCTTCTTCGCCCGTAACGCAGCCCCACAAATCTTTAAGTTCGAGGCATGCCTGCATTGCGAATTTCCACGCGTTGTAATTCTCTCGGCCTATTATAAGCTTCTCTATCGCCGGATAGTTATTCTGTTGAGCCATCGTGACGATAAGATATACCGACCTCGTGTGCGTCTTTCTTCACGTGTAACCTCCAAAGGCGTATTTTTAACGTTGACTGCTCAGAGTCTTTGTGAGTGTACACGTGACGTTTTGCCACTATTTTTTACCAAAGATATCGCGTGGGCCCTGGGCCCATAACCTGATGATTTAGGTGATTTATAGGCAATTGTACAAGAATGATACTCTTAGAAAGACGTAGCTTTATTTGGCTGGGCTATGCACACACAAGCGCGGGAACAGAGAGAAAAGGGAAGGGGGGGAACATAAAGACAAAAAATACAGGGCTAGTTGCCAACTTAAACGTAATGCGAATCTAGGGACTAACAGAACCATTGTGGTGCGTTTACATATCCTAACATAAAGATTTATTCTCTATTCATAATATTGAATACAATTTTCTCGCTGATATTAAAGGCCGACAAAAAAAATTTTATCAAGCAACTCTAATCAGATTAGGTGTTTCTTACACATTTTTAATAAAGAAAAGTGATTTGTGTTAAAATAATAATTTCTTTTTATTTTAACACAAATCATGTAGTTAAAAAGAACAACTGCACCTAACTCAACCCATTTCTGTAAGCGAATTGCTAATGTGATGGAGCAATTTGGTCAGCAGGATTACTTTCTTTACGCACGCGTACCCATAGGCGCATCCACACCCCTTACGGAAAAACACTCAAGTTTTGAGTGTTAACATTCGATTATCCGAATTTGAACTCTCAAATTTGGGCGTAAATATTTAAATCTGGATGTTTACGTTGAGAGTAAATTCGGACAATCGAGTGTTAACACTCAAAACTTGAGTATTTTTTCCGTTAGGGACGCACACGCACACACTCATAATAAAACCCTTATTGATGATAAAACTTGTTCTATTTTGCATTTTTTTGATAAAAATCTGCACGATAGTATAGAAAATATTTATCTCTCGATCTAATGCAAAGGATCGAATATGTACGGACCATTCATCCTTCATCGTTTAATTATGAGTCTACATATATGGGTTAGTAAGCGTCGGTATAATGTCGTCGGAACACTTACACAATGTACTGTCTCTATTTTTTAAATAACTTATTTTCTTGAATTTTTTTGACTTTTATGTTAATGTGTAATCGTGTTACCGTCGATTCTCTTGAGAGTTTGTAGACCAATTAATTTAGTTTGCTTTCAAAATTATATTACTAACTCTAAATATTGCTAAAACACCCCTTTTTAGAAGTTTCCATCCTATTTTTCTCGAAATTGTGATTTGCTAGAACTAGAACAATTTGCTAGAACTAGAACAATTGTGCTAGAAACTAGAACAATTTTACTGACGAATTTAGATTCAATATAACAAATCTACGAAAAAGGATGTGTTTGATTCAAATCGTAAAATCCCGAACTATATTATTAGAACTTGACATAAAATCAATATTATAATACAAATAATGTAAGGATTGACTTATATTCTTCCCGTAGAAGGAGAATAATTTTAAAAAATTTACATACAAATATAAAATATTTATAAGTAATTTTTTAATTTTCTATACTGGCAGAAATATAAATCTTTGGATTTTTTATTAAATACAGGCGCGCCCTTCGCGCGCGCCATTTGCTATCTCTATGATTTCGCATGGTTTGACAGCTGCAAATAACACGACTGTAGCATGTCGTATCGCACAAACGAGACAGCTAATCGACTTACATGCCTTTTTTAGAAGTGGAATAAAATTGTATTTCTGTATAGCACATAAAGCATTATTCTTTTTATTACTATTAAATTTTTAATAATACCTCATTGATCAATTAAACTTTCTTTACCTTTCAATTTTCTTTATATTTTTAAATATTTTTTGTTATATTTTTGTTGTATTTTGAGTTTAATTGTCGATTCGCATAAAATATTAAAGTTATATATAAATTCACTGTGTATGCGAGTGCAATAATGACATTGATAGATACTCATATAAGTATATGTTTCTTTTGTTAATTAAGATATGAAAAAATATTTCTGTAATAAATATCTTATTATCAATATTTGCGTTTTAAATTAATATTCCAATATTTATTCTTCCTCTTATAAGAAAAAATTGGATTCAGAGATATATAAATATGTGAGTCACTTATATTGAAAAGGCTAGTATTATTAATCTCACAAATAAAAGTTTTAATGTCTCAACGGTAAAATGTTTCAATGTCTCAATGTAGAAATAAATGTTTTTATAAGACTCACGATTACTTAGTGGTAGTTCTTTTTCCATATCACGTGCATGTTCGCAAGGTAGACTGGACTTGGAGTTTAATGACGCAATTCACGCGACGGAAGTCACAGCAACGACGCAACACCATTTTATTGTTCCACATACACATATAAACAACTCAATGCCTACACGCGAAATGCTCTCGTTAATGCCACGTGACTGCTTATCACATCTTATTAAGTGCCAGGAAATTTGATTCTGGCCTCGATACAACCACCAGTTCTAGTTAAATGTGATGTATTACTTCATCAGTCATATTACAGATCGCCGTAACAATCATGCTTTTATACCTGATAAAATTAATGTACAAAATTGTCAAAATGATGTCAATTGACAAATAATTGGTACTTGGTAACAATTGTATCATTGACAGATCAATATTATTGACAGATCAATAATATGGATATTCTTGCTATTCAATGGAATAAATTTGCACTCTTAAGAATAGAATAGTTTTTGTGTTCTATTTTTTCAATTAGAGGTAGATAAAACATTGAATTGACTTGCATATATACGAGCATTTTATAATTTTGTGAAAGATAAAACAAATACGTTGTTATTAATAATAAAATAATGTAAAATAATAAAAGTTAATTTTCTATCGGTCTGACATAATTTTCTGTAGAAGAAGGGATACACAAAAAAATAAGTGACTATATAATATAAAAAATGTCATTGTGCAAAATAGAGTAGTTGATTAGAATACTGATTAGGAAGAAATGACAAATATTTTCTTTTTATTTTTAATTATTTTTTATTACCGCATTTTTCTTAGCAAGCATTGAATTTTTATGATGTACAGCTAACTTTTTACTCTCTTATGTTATTTAATAGATTTATATTTACTAATTGTGAAGTCAAGTCATATAATGATGCAGGAATCGTTATGACATAAAAATTCTATAATAAATTGTTTGTTTAAAGGCAAGAATAAATTAAGTCAAATGAATTAAAAACGCGACATCAAAAATGTCAAAGATATGAAAAATTAAAACTTGGTTCTAAAATTTAAAAAAAAAGAAAGAAATAAGTAACTTGTAGCAAGCTACTTATTTAAGCTTGTTGTAAATAAAATAAAATTAAATAGAATTAAAATTTTATGATAAAAACGATTAAGACATCAATATTAGATAACATTTCCAGATCTTATAAACAGAATTTCTTGTTACAGTGAAACTAATGAGATACTGTGTAAGCAATGAGATCGCCGCTCGTGTTGCTCGTTCCTTGCCTATCAAATCATAGGAAATATAAATAAGTAGATTTTGCATATCTACCAAATCCGGCCCACCGCTTCTCATGTGCTCATTCGTCTGGACATATTTGTTTATTATTCGATTACTTGCGAATTTTTCAAAATAGTACGTAATTTTTCTTTTTAGTTTACTTCAATCTATTTTCATCTTTCGGTTGGTTACTTTCATGTTGGAAATACTATGTGCGTGTGTATGTGTGTGTTTATTTTGCTAAGTTTTTCAATTACGAGACCACTTTTGTTTCAAAAAGTCTAGACTTACATACAAGGAACAATTTCGAAGAGTCCCCTTTCAATATTGATAAAGTATTAATATGTTGTACCCCCTCCCCCAGCTGAAAATCAGATACGTATTTCTTTTATACATGCCTATATGCACTTTTAGGGGTGAAATACCCATAGACATCTATAGACGAAGCATTAGCTACAACTCTGGACAAGAGGGGTTCTGATATTCGGGGCGCGGGAGGCACTCATCTGACATCGACTCTTTCCGGTGAGATTCGGTAATATTCGGTTCACATTTCCAAATAGTACGTAATTTTTCTTTTTAGTTTACTTCAATCTATTTTCATCTTTCGGTTGGTTACTTTCATGTTGGAAATACTATGTGCGTGTGTATGTGTGTGTCCCACTCCAAGTTGGAGGGGATGATCCGTTCGGCCACGCGCGCGCGCACGCTCGCACACAAGCAACGCGCCGTATATACGTGTGCACACGTATTGGAAATGTGAACCGAATATTACCGAATCTCACCGGAAAGAGTCGAAGTCAGACGAGTGATCCCTTTACCGTGATTATCAGTTACCCCTCGTACAAAGGGTCCGTCCATAGATGTCTATGGAAATACCACTTTGAGAAACATCAGTTTTCTCTTTCGATGCAAATAACGATGAAACTATAAAAATATGAGAAACTTCCTGATTGGCTGAGTAACATCTTTATTTGCGCATTCGCGCATTCGGTGGCGTTTCTAGTGGATTTATCTTTTTTTAGTTGCACACTGTTTCTGCATATGCTTTATGTTATAACACCAAAACAAAGAAGTCTCTGTCTGTATCCAAGAAGGCACACTCTTGCACACCTCAGTCTTGTATTGTCATTTACTTATCGTCTGTAAAGGGTTCACTTATTTTCCACTGCTTAGGGCGTTCTTTTATTAGGAACCCCGCTCTAAAAAAAGATAGAAAATTTAAAAATTAAAAGTTAAATAACATTTCAAATTTTAATCGACCTCAGCTGGCCACATTTATTCAATACGCTTTCACAACGTTCCAACCTTTGGTTTAAAATTAAAATAAAATTACAGCCACAATTTGGCGAACGGTGTTAAAAAATAAGAGTCACTTCACTAACGTTCGGAGTCGATGATTGTAAGACAAAGACTGTTTTTGAACACCGTTCGCCAAATTGTGGCTGTAATTTTATTTGACAAACTCCGTAATAAGATCTCATCTGATAAGGACCTAAACCATAGGTCGAAACGTTGTGAAATCGTATTCAATAAATGTGGCCAGCTGAGGTCGATTAAAATTTAAAATGTTATTTAAGTATATCAATATTAGCAATTTGATGAAATATACCATTTAAAAGTTAAATGTTTTGAAGAGTAATTTAAAATCATGAGAAAACAAATAGTTAATTTTTACATTTTTCCAAAAACTCCCAACACAAAAATTTTAAATAGAAAGAAAGTAAAATAAAGTAAAGTGTGCAAATTAGAAATTTGCACATGGCTTCCTCATGGAGGAAGCTTTATGAGCGAAATCTAATTTTTTTCGATGTTTCTTGAAAGTGTGCAAATTAGAAATTTGCACATTGCTTCTTCAGCATTGAAGCGTGCAAATTGGAAATTTGCACATTTCTTCCTCATCATTAAAGTAGGCAAATTAGAAATTTGCACATTGCTTCCATTGTTATAGCTTCCTCATAGAGGAAGCTTTAAGAGAGAAATCTAACTTTACTACGATGTTTCTTGAAAGTATTCAAATTAGAAATTTGCATATTCTTATTTCGCTCTTAAAGCTTCCTCTATGAGGAAGCCATGTGCAAATTTCTAATTTGCAC